GAAAGATCAGAGCAACACAGCAGGAAAGCACAGGAGAACCACTCCAAAGACTTCTAGATAATAGAAGTGCAGTGCCCAGGTTAGTGATATCCTAGGGTAGGCCAGTGATGGTTAAACAGTGACATACCAAAAAACTCTTTCAAAAAGAATGACAATAACAGTTAGGAAGAAAATTTTCAACATGTATTTAGATGTCTAACATTAGGTTGCCTGAAAATAAGTAGGAGACTCATCAAGGAGACTCATTATCTTTGAGGCAAAATGGCTAGATCTCACCGATGGCCCCATCTGACGTCCCTGCAAATCTTTGATTCAGCTATAGGACTAAAACACTTAGTCTCCTGGACAGCTGCCTGTGCAATGTTCTTAAAAGCAACACCCCATTTAACTTTAGCTGGCTAGTGAAGACAACATCAGAATGTTTAGCATGGGGGTTTGGGTTTTCTTTTGAAGAGTCCCACATGCAGGTTAGTGAAACTATTCATTAGACTATTCTGTAGTTATTTCCCTATGACGTGTGCAGTGAAGAGAGTGACTGATGACACTAGAGCACTGAGAGCACCACGTGATTCAAGTATTTACTTTTATGAAGTGGCTTCATAATTAGACATAGTTTGACCTGCTTGCCTGATAGCTTACCTATGTCTTCAAGCATACAGTTTTAGTTTAATTTACTCCTAGTAAAATGACACTCAATTGCAGGGCAATTATCTGATTCCTAGACTGCTTAAGGTAATCATGCCACGCCACTCGCAGCAAGCGCGGAAATTATAGTCACTCATGTCTTACTGTTTAATTAGAAAAAAAAAAAAAATCGCCACAGTAATTTCAATCCTAAAAATAGTTTTTTTTATAGCAAAATCAACAATTTTAACCATCAATTTAAAAATTCTACACACAAGAATAATTCAAATCCACAAAGGAACATTATTTCCCCCTGTATTCTGTCTCTATTGGGCAAAGGGTTCATATGAATCACTGGACACTGACTTAAACTCTAAATACTGATCTAGATTTGAGTCTTAAATTCTGGATATGGAAGAAGAGTTTTTAAACTTCACATACCTGTCCTTTAGCAACAATATTGCAAAAGAATAAATGAGTTCTGGAAGATATTCCTGATTTTTCCTCACCAAGTGACTTCAAGGAAAATTCCAACTGTGTTGTAAAGCGAAGAATGTTGAGGAGCTTAACAGGTGTAATTCTGTATCTTTTTTTAAGCTCAGCTTAATTTAAGAAAGAGAAGTCATAATTTTAGTTTATCATGAATTAACAGCGGAGAATACAAATGAGCTCAGTCCTTATACTGTATATAATTTATGACTTCACACACAAAAGACAGCTTTTAGTATTAATAGATGAGACCGCATTTGCAGTGAATTTGGTTTAATCCACACACCCTGTAAAATGAACTGCAGGAATCTTAACCTTTGGTTTCTTTCTACTTCAAAGAATTTCTGCAAAACAATTAATTTTTGCACAGAATTTTTACACTGCAAGCATTACTTCCCTGGGGAAGCAGACATTAGAATTGGGCACTGATGTTCCTCCCCATCCCCCCCGCCTTCTTTACCAAATTACCAAGTGTATGCTGCCATTACTTTCTTCACAAATGAAAAGCTGGAGTCTTGTTCATTGTTGTACACTGGATGACAGAAAAGCAAAGGGAATGAGCAAGAGGCAACGAGACCTAACAGTGACAGCAACACACAGTTTTGTAGTATCTTTATAATTATAAAGATATATTTATATATATTTAACTAGTAGTATCTTGGTAAAATTTGATGAAATGAGACACATGGACCATAAAATAGCAAAGTACCATTCAGTATTCCTTGGCTTCTTTGGCTTCTCTTCTCAAACAGAAGAGAATAATAGAACTGTTTTGTGTGAACAGAATAGGGCTGAAGACAGGCATAGCTTCTACAAACAAACACTGAGAATTTAGCATATCTCCAAAATGTTGACATTTTGCTCTAGAACATTACTATATTTGCTTTAGAGTGCTTGTACCTCCCCTCTGCAGTATTACACTGAAATAGAGAGCCTTTTGAATGGTCAGTTGTTTAGCTGCTGCTGTCATTTGCAACTTGGTATTTGGATTTGGTTAAAAAGGGTGAAGTTACACTGGCTCAAATCAACTTTTGTTTAGAAAAAAATTACATTTGTGGCTGATGTGCTAATGCTTTCTTGGTTGAGTTTCCTTTTTACAGTGAAAGGGGGATAAGGAAACAGCCCTTGAGTTTTTCTGATAAGGGAGAGATAGATATGATACTCTTCAGGGAACTGTAGATGAGTAACACCGTACTTGCAGATAAAAGACTGCCAATGACAGATTATTTCAGCATCGCCAGAGCTTTTACATTCTGAAGACTCCTAATGCAGCATGAAGCACAGTCAAATTGTATACACATATGCCTTAATATGAGAAGCAAACAAGCCAAAAATCAATTGCTTCTGTGTCATAACTACTCAGAGATTTAGGTTGGTCTGTACCAGCTGTAGCATTCATATAACAACACGACATTGGTAGAGCTGGCGCAGTCAGAGCTTTCCTAGTGTAATTCCATCTTTGCAGAGAGCTTTTGATAGAACTGCTAAACGGTATCCCATCTTACCACCCCTTGAGCAGCAAGGCTCTGCCAGCAGTGGACTAGACAGTAGACCTAGTCTTCTATTTTCCTAATAATAGTATTATCTCAGGCATTTCCTGTGAAGCCCTCAGTAGACAACTGGTCATGAGATTTAAAAGTCACTCAAAGGCAATGAAAAGCACAAAGTCAGCTTTCTTTCCCTTTGTGCTGTTTCTTGTGCAGTATGGCTCAAAGATGAGATTATACATACCCATTAAAAAGACTCCTTGTACATGGTCCTAATCTTGCTAGAATTAAATTTGACATTAAATAAATAAAGATCAAGGTTTTACTGTCTAAAATTAATTCTATTTAAGGGAACTCAGCCTGCACAGTGGCACTTTGTGTAATCTAGGTCAAGAGTTAAGGTTAACAGCTAACATAAACTGCATTTGAGCTAAGTAAGGCATCAATTTTTATAATGAACTTCAGAATATTACTGGGGCTACAGTGTAATGCTGCAACGTACTAGAGAAAGTCTAGACTACAATCACTTCAGGTAATAAAAATTTATGTGGTCTTTGTGCCCTTGCTACTGATGTCTAGGCTTGTTTAGGTACATGTACATTAGCTGCAACAGTGACTCCAACGTAAACTCACCCCAAGCATACGACCAAAATAAAGGTAGATTCTTACTCCAGCATTGCTAAACTCTCAACCCATATCCATAGCAGTGCTGAGGACACCTAACTCTCAGAATTCATTTAGAGTTTGGGCCACTCTGAAATGGTCAGAATATTGGTTAATTCAATTTGAGACAAAGTAGAAGCCACAGAAAACTAGAAATCAACAAAACTGCACGCAAAAGCTAATAAGGGAAGAAAAAATTGTTGCTATTCAATAGCAGACACCTTGTATGCATGTTTTACAAAGATTAAGTTATTAAGTGAAGAAAAAGCGGGAAAAAGCGAGCAAAGTTATACTTGTGGATTTATCAATCTCATATATAAACATAACATTTAAAATCACTTCAAGTATTCCATCTGACAGCCAGGCAGAGGTACAGTAAGAGACTGGGAAGTAGGTAAAAACTTTTCAGATTCACCTACACGATATGAAATCTATGTTAGTAGAGACAGAATGAGGAAACAGATTGCACTGATGACTGAAATCACAATACCAAGTAAAGTAAATGGTAGTCTTCAATCTTTGAGAGCCAGAAAGCACTCAATGTTATTAGCAGACCAATAATGACAATCTGCTCATTTTACTATTAATTTAAACTAACACACCTGGAAATTGATAAGAAATCTTAAATTCCATTAATGTTAAATTACGTATCAAATCAGCAAAGAACATTCCAAACTTGTAATCAACGCTTTTCCCACTACTTTCTGTCAACTTGGTATCAGAATCTAGGAAGAAAAGTAAGGCAGGCATAAACTCAGAATCACTTTTATGTAGCAATGTTGTTTAACTGTGACACTATCCCAGATAGGAAAAAAAACTACACAATACCTTTCTTTTTGAATTTCAGAGTTGCAAAGGAACTATCATTTAGATGAGGTGACCTTCTTTCTACATGAAGATGAAAAATCTAAAAAAACCTTGTCAGAGTAAAACTGCTTCTGTCTGCTTCTAGAAGTTGTCCTTCTGTAGAAAGGGTATCATCATTAACTGTGACACTATCCCAGATAGGATTGACTGCCAGGAGTGAACAAACAAGCTATAGCAATCTCTTAAAATATTTCACATTCCTCTGTAGCTGGTTAAGACAAGACTAAAGTAGTCTCAAAAATCCTTTATGTAAATTTGAATAAGCATTTGTCTTTAAATTCCAGGCTTTTACCTTTTAAAAAATTGTTTGATATATATATCTTGCTTTGAATCAAACCCTGAAATAAATATTACACATGGAAAACACAACATTGAAGTCTGGAGTCCTACCAAGAGAACACTGAAAGCGGCCAAGCCTGCTGGTATGATGCAGGCCTCCAAAGGATGAATGAGATTAGGATTTAAAAAACAAAACAATACTGAAAAACACACCATGTCTCAAACGGAAATGTTATCTCTGTAGTACAATATGTAATTTTTTTCCGGTCAATGGTACGTCTCCAGTTTCAGAGAAGTAATGATACAATATCCTCAAGCCAGGTATCCAAAAATTTCTTCACTTTGCCATAAAACTCTAGACCTTTTACAATTAACTTATTTCTGGCAGCTGGAACTCTATAATAGAAAGAAAGTAGGTGCTCTGATATACTGTCATGTTCTTATATAACAGAAATTGGTAGGAAACAATCAGTCCGGATTCAGAAGTTGGTTTTTTTTTTCTTCTCCAGTTAAAATATGCCGAGCATCTGATGTTTACTCTAAAAGCTGCCCACACTCTCTTTCATCAGTGGGCCTCTTCTTACAGACCTCTCAAGCTTCAAGAAGTATCTGCACTCCCAAAGAAAAAACAACGAAGAATTTGGTTGCATTTGCTTCACTGTTTATCACAGTCTGCAGGCTGGCTTTAGTCAGAACATTCTTCCTCTACCTCTTTTACCTTGCAAACTTCAACTTCAGATTGCAAAGAGGACTGAGAAATGCAGCTGAAAGTTCGAATGCTGTGTGGATCAACTGGTGGCACCAGCGTAAGTGACTCGACACTTAGCGCATCCGTATTATCGTCTGTTATTAACGATATTGTTGGCTGCTGTGCAGGAATCAGGCTAGGAGACAGGTTTGCTGTTTCTATGTCACTGTTTTTTACAGCATTCTTGCTAGACTTTGAGACAGCTGAAAGAGTTTCATCAGTCAACATTGTCTGACCAGAAACGATCATCTGACCAGAAATGGACATCTGAGGCTGCTCTGGAGCTGAAGCATCATCTAATAAAAGAAAACGCCAAGAAACAATCAATATTCAACTTAGTGTGTACATGAAGCCTAACAGTATACTATTATTTATGAGTATTTATGAATAATCGGGTGGGAAAATGCAGTTCTGTGAAGCACTATGCTTACATGTTCACTTTTTAGTAATTAGAAAGAAAACAACATATTATGAAGGCATAACATAAAATGCCAGCAGGAAACTGTTCAAATTATGACGCAGAAAATTTTACACATTTAGTATTAGAATATGCAGCAACATCAGAAATATTCCTAGAGAGAGGAAATTAAGGGGAAGAATAAGAAAGCCTCTCCAGTATTTAGTATAGACTAAAATGATTAGCCACCCCATACCAGGAAGCTCTTCAGGAATAAAAAAAAGAACACCCATATAACTAGTTTTCCCAAGAGGTGACTTGTTTCTTACAAAAATTGGAAGTCATTCTCTCATTTCATTCTCCAGATCCACATTTAAGTGACACGTCAACCACAGATAGCAGAACTATGGAAGAACGGGAAGGAGAATAATGTGCTTACTGCAACTGAAAGGTGCTGCAAAATAGGCCTGATTGTGTTATATGATTTGTTTTGTGTGCTCCTAAGCATGGAGCATACAATACAGATAAAATCGGGAATAAGCATCACATACCATAGAAAACCGATATGCCACTATACCTTCCCACACAATGGAAAAAAACCCCAAACAGCTATTTGTCCTTCTACCCCTTAAAATGCTAGCTAACTATCAAGTAAACTGCTCATTTGGCTCAGATGGATAGTGAATGAGGCGATATAGCCTCATATGAGCAAGTATGCCCAGAAAAGTCAGGTTTTTTCTCTTTTCAGACTAGTGTAATGTAACAGGTATCCAGCTTCAAGACAGACCATTTTTAGAGCTTTTGTAAGAAACAGCATGTGTTCAAGTGTACAGGCATCTGCAGAGAAGTCTACAAGGCAATGTAGTGAATATATAAACTCAGAATTAGGTTCTGTTTTTAATACACAGTGACCTTAATATTTCAGTTTCAATATGATTCCAATTAATCCTGTAAAAGAAAAGAAAGCATGAACATAAGGCAAATAAAACAAACCCAAAGCTGAGAATGGAATGGATATCAGTAAGGTATCAGTGGGATAACAGTAAGATTATCGGGTTTTTTATCTTTCTGGTAAGATAACCCCAAACAATGGTGTATTCTCACTTCAGAAGACCACTCAATTCTACTTTTTGCTGAATCAGTGGCTAAAGCTTCTCGCTTTAATGAAAACGAAATTTATAGATTGTAAAAAAAGTCACCTTTTAGATAAAAGGGACATCACCAATTATTTTTGCAAAATAAGGACAGATTCAAAGTAACTCTGCAGATTCTTCTTTTTAGCTGTCAAGAAGTTTTAGTGAGAATGTAGTGATCAATAACAGAGGATACGATGCAAGACTTGCACAGAAAATGAGCTGAAAATTTCTCTGAATTCCAAGATAAATACTGTCGCAGTTTGGTATGCACAAAACAGTGAGTCTCTTTGCAGTGATTTTACTTTCTGACTTTATAAAATCTTAATAGAATATCAAATGTTTATTGCCAAAATTACTTTTTATCTTAATTATAGTATGAATATTCACCAAAATTCAGGATTCAGAAACCTGAGACATTCTGGTAAATAAAGTATTATCAACCAACGGTATTCTGCTCAGGAATGTTATATACAGCACATTTTTATTGCAGTTCTTCTATTTTACTTCTGATTCTGCAATTCATTTCTTAAATCATTCCTCCCCGACTCCCCACAAAATATTAACATATTTTCACTATACTTCCATTTGTCATGACAGACATATTCTTTCGCTATGCTGTATTGTCCCCAAATCCTTCCAAGTAGGATCTAAATTAATGCTAAAGTGACTCCCTTCTTAACGCCACAAAGAAACAGAAAGTATTTGAAAAAAGTCTCAAAAAGAAGAAGTAATTGGAGTCAACAAGTCCCAATTTTCTATCCAAAAGTCTAAAAAAACATTCAGAAAAAAAGATAAAAATATCAAAAAAGTAAGCAGAATATACTCTGTCCAGTATTTTCGCTGCAGTATTTATAGAGAATGCAAAATTAGAGCTCTTCTATGCTTGCCTCCCACTTTTATGTACTATTGATTGAAGTAAGTCTCTCTCCTCTACTTTCAGTATTTCATTAGTCACTGTTAGAGCTTCACTTCTGCTACTCTGTTACAGATTTTTGTAAGCCGGCATGGCACTTCTGCCAAAACGACTAGGTATTCTGAAACTGGCACTAGTCCCTGCAGGGGCAGAAAGCAAATACCAGTACACAATGGGGTGGTGAAGGGTGAATTTTAAAACATTGTCTAGAAAAGGTCAACAGCTCTCACTACTATTTTGCAATATATTGTCCCTTCTGGACCAATACTTAACTAAAAATCTGACTCTTTCACAGCTATAAACTATGGCTATGAGAGCAGTACTTAAATCTTTGTGACCAAGCTCTCAAATCCATAGGCTACTTGACATGTATACTTAGCCTGAAACTACAACTATAAGCTTGTGCTAGCTAATTTTTGAAGCATGGTCATCTCTCATATCTTTTGCATACAAGGATAGAGGAAACAATCCCAGACCACAGATGAAGGAAACTAAACAGAAAACGGAATACAAAGATACACCATCTTGGAATGAAATTTTGGTATATAGGAGGCATTACAATGAAAAAATAAGACCACCCTCTTGATGTAAAAAGTTTTCACATATAACACCTCCCATTTAATTGAATACATGGCTTCAGGACAACAATTGCTAATGAGAAAATTTTTGAGGCTCAGAATTTCAAAGACTTTTGAAGTCATGCTCAATTCAGATGAGGATCCAAGTAAATAAATATATATTTATATGGTCTGAATTCTTAAAGTCTCTAAAACTGGAATAAACAATTGGCAAAAAGATGCACCCTCGCTGAAAAAAAGCTCAAGAAGGGATTATTTAGAAGAATGTCTGTCTCCAAAATCCAGATAGGCACCAAGCTCTTGATTCAAAACAGTTTCAGGGCAACTAGTATGTTTAGACATTAAGTTCTCTACCTGTTATCTGGAACTTGTGTCTATATTGCACATAAAAGTACTAACTGGCTTTCAAAAAAACCTCAAACCCCTAGCACTTGGTTCCAGTTTGACTTTTGGATAGAAAGAGCAAAAATAATTGTCATTTTTACCTGAATAAAATCACCATCCACTAAGATATGCTCTACTCTTAAATATCAAAAAGTTATCATCTAATATGGGAAAACAGCATTTTTTTTAACTCGCCCCAACACCCATGTATTTAAACAAGAGTGCTCTGGCAAAAAATGTAAGCCAGATCTGCAACAAAAACAGGGAGAGTGAAGTCAGTTTCTTAAAACAGTTGTGATGTTAACATTTAGTGCTAACAAACACCTCCCATGTACCCCCAAATTTAAGTACCAAACAGGGTTTGAAAACAGGGTGTCATTTTACAAGTTTTTGGCTATTATCAGCTCTCTCTGGTTGCAGTGGCTTCAGCAACCTTAGATGTCTTTCAGCACTTCTATAATGCTACCAAGATTATAATCACAGCAAAAAAAATCTAAACCAAATCACTCAATTTCTGTTATATTAACATATGGTTAAGATGATTATTATTGAAAGAAAATAGAAAAGAATAGGAAAAGGAAAGAATGAATATCATCTACAGAGAAGTGTCCTGATCTGTACAGCAACATACTATGAAAGGATAACAAAAATATAAGTAACAGGACATTAAGTGAAAAGATGCAAAGTAAATCTATAAAGATGAGAAAGGGTGTTTATATAATATCAACAGAGTAAAATATCATCATGCCATGATAGTAAAAAAAAATTAAATAAATAGATACAAGTTAAAACAGGTTACAAGAATAAGAAGGTAGTCCGAAGCTTATTTCCACCTTTTTTGCATATGCTTCCCCTCCTCACCTCTTCAGGCAATTAAACAGCCCATAAAGCCATCTGCCTGAGTTTGATGACATTAAGCTTGTACCGTCACAGTCCAAGGACAGTCTTATGTTGAATGCATGTCCATTTTACCAAAGTTATAAATAGATTTCTTGCTGCTAGCCAAGTACCTGCATTACTGTCCATTCAGGAGCCTGTGCTTACTAAATTCCACTACAGCCATGGCTGCCCCTGTGCAAATGAAGACATAGCTGCGTTGAAGCTGGAGGCTTGATAGCAGAAGTTCCATCTTTGGCATGAGAGCCAAGAAACATGGGAGAAACTGCAGATAAGGCTTTCAGAAAAAGCTAATTATTGCTTTACAGTTCTCCCCCCAAAAAGCAGTAGAGACAAATATTTATAATGCTTTCTTCAGTTTCCTACCTCACTGTCATTGCTGTCAGCACAGAAACCAAATATCTTCTATTAACTGTTATGGGCTTTTGAAAGCTTATGGAGTAACCTGCCTGAATTGATATTGCGGTAGTTTCTGTTGCAGCTGCTGCTTGAAGACCTAAACCCAGTGTCCACCGTGACTGTCAGCCTCCGACAGACTAAACACCCGCCGACGTCCTTTCCTGCCAGACCTTACTAGAGGAAAACACAGCGATATATCATACAAAGGCTTTAACAATGAAACAAGGAAGGGAAACTGGAATGAAGACAAAGGAAACACGTTAGAGTAGCAACAAGAATAAGTGACAAGGACACATCCATAACTGCTGGTATCTTGAATACAATTTGACACCACACCAAGAGTCTTGTAAGTTTGGGAAATACTTCTGAAGCTGGAAGCATTCATTCTTTAGAAATGAAATAAATGGCTTTCACTGAATTTATCTTTGCTTACCTATCTGGAAATTTTCATAATACAGTTTGGGCTACATCTGGCAATACTGACAGCACTTACACCAAGGAGGGACTGGCAGGCATTTATTAGCATTACAATCTACTCACATGCTTTAGAAATCTTGAGAGAAGCTATTTATCACAAATTCTGCTGACATAG